GGGGGGGGGGGGGGTGTGTGTGTGTGTGTGTGTGTGGGGGGGAGGGGGGGTTATGCTGGAAACGGCTTCTGCTTTACAGGAGATGCAAGCTGGCAAAAAACGAAGATAAGGAGATGGAGAGGAGTGTTTTTTTCCCTCCTTTAATCTCCAATTGTTGAAACGAGGAAAAGGGTGAGGCTTGGAAACGAGGGTGTGTGTGTGTGTGTGTGTGTGTGTGTGGGAGAGGGGGGGGGGGGGCGTGGGCCACACACATCGACTCCCAGAGCTCGGGGTGAGTCAGGCAGCTCTCTCCTGCGTGTGTCCAAGTTCGTCCACGCCGCCATTACAGCTTAAAAGGCATTTTTAACTCATTGACTGCCAGCCATTTTCAGAACAGAGACTCCCGTACTGCCAGAGTTTTTTTTTAGCATTTTGACTGATTTTTCAAGAGCCACAGAATAGTTTGTGCTATGACTATGTAAACACCGAACACGCCAAAAGAAAGAGTAGACTCTCTTCTTTCATCAGGAAAAAAAAATTTGTTTCTACCTTATTCCGTTCTTTAGTAATCAGCAGCAGAACATAGGTTGGTTTCAACAAAAACACCAGTTTTTGACCAATAAATGGAGAAAACAAGATTTTTGTGAAAAGATACAGTTCAAGCAGAGAAGTGTCTTTGATGCTATTTTTTTGGCTTTAGTGACACCTCAAACATCTTAAAAGTTGTATCCTTCTATAAAACGGCAAAAACAACATCTAGAAATGGTTTTAAATGACAAAATAATTTATTCACAAATACATTTATGTAAACAGTTCTGAAACACGCCTTGGCCCGGGTTGATCTCCTTCATTTCCCGCGATCGGGACACCAACCCGACCAACACCTGTGTGTGAGCTTCCTTAACTTCACGGACGTGCGTCTCACCGGCGACATGTTCTCTCATAGCGAACCGTTACCTTTTTCTTATTTGCCTACAGTCTATGCTCATCCACCATCAAAAGTGGCGCTGCCCCCTAGAGGGTCAATTTGTTACTACATACTCTGTCTAGAAGCCTGATATTTACGGACAAGCTTTAGCAGGTCGTCCCCCAGACACTCTCGTTGAAAAACATAAAAGACGTCTATAGACGTCTTTGGCAGCCAATGAGTTCAGGGTCATTTTTAGAATAAAAACCCCCCTGTCCTCTCCTCTGACTGCAGTCTGGAGGGGAGTCTGTCTGGAGCCTGCAGAGAGGACGTGAACAAACACAGGCCGGTGGTTCTGGATTCTTTGTCAGTCTGCTTTCAGGGTGGTCTGCTCAGACTCATCTCTCCTCATGAGGCGTGCACGCACGCGAGCGCTCTGAGTGAGTTCTGCCCGTCTAAGATGTAGATCAGCTCATTTAGCTTCTGTGCTCAGGCAGGGAGCAGCGGTTCCCAAATCCGTTCCCAAATCTACCAAAACCTCCCCAAACCTTCCCAAATCTCCCCAAACCTTCCCAAATCTCCCCAAACTTTCCCAAACCTCCCGAAAA